AAGCCTCTCCTTCCATACGCCTCTGGTCAGTTTGTCGACTGTCGCAGGAATCCACTGGAGAGTTCGATCAATTGCTTCGTAGCCGGTGACATTCGTGCCAACGAGCAAGTCGGCCTGCTGGCCATGCACACCTTATGGTTGCGCGAACACAACCGCATCGCTCGCGCGCTACGCGAGATGAATCCACACTGGAATGGCGAAAAATTGTATCAGGAAGCGAGACGTATCGTCGGCGCAGAGATGCAACACATCACTTATCGACACTGGTTGCCGCGAATATTTGGATCGGCGATCGAGGACTCTACTACGTTGGGACCGTACCGAGGCTACGATCCCAACGTAGACGCCAGCATATCCAACGTTTTCGCCACCGCCGCTCTACGTTTCGGCCACTCGCTCATCCAACCGCGTCTGGAGCGGCTGAACGCGTCCTTCCAACCGATTCCTCAGGGTCCTCTCAATTTGCGCGATGCCTTCTTCGCCCCTTGGCGACTAGTGGAGGAAGGTGGCGTCGACCCGCTGATCCGAGGTATGTACGCCACGGCGGCGAAACTGAAGCTGCCCGAACAGAATCTCAATGTCGAGCTCACCGAACAGCTATTCCGTACCGCTCACGCGGTTGCGCTCGATCTAGCGGCGATGAATATCCAACGAGCGAGAGATCACGGGCTTCCCGGCTATGTAGAGTGGCGCGATTACTGCAACATGTCGCGCGTCGAGACATTCGAGCATTTGACTAACGACATCAGCAGCGCTCGAGTGCGGCAGAAGCTGCGCGAATTATACGGTCACCCGGGCAATATAGACGTTTGGGTTGGTGGTATTCTCGAGGATCAGTTGCCTGGGATGAAAGTCGGACCGCTGTTCAAATGCCTCCTACTCGAGCAATTTCGGCGAACCCGGGACGGCGATCGGTTCTGGTACGAGAATCCAAGCGTCTTTCGCGCGGAACAACTCGCCCAGATTCACCAAGTGTCACTAGCCAGAATCTTATGCGACAACGCCGACAACATCACTCGCGTACAACCCAACGTGTTTCTACTGCCCGAGAGTCGCAATCACTTTGTCAGTTGTGACGAGATTCCTTACGTAGACTTGAACGCGTGGTCTGACTGCTGCGAAAATTGCGAAGATCGTGATAATACTATCTCCCGCGTGCGTAGAGAGGCTGACAAGTATTTTCCACCCAGTCGTGACTACGTCAAGGACACCGATTCGTTGAGTCGCGAAGAGAAAATCGAATACTTACAAAGGATGTTTGATGAAAGTAATCGAGAGGCTAAGCGTTTGCAACAACAGTCTGACAAGTTGTCACAAAGAGTGAAAGAACTCGAGTCATTTTTAAAAGACATTAAAACACAATAGAGAAATTAAATGTGTACTTGGATCATTCTCTCTCTCTCTCTCTCTCTCTCTCTCTCTCTCTCTCTCTCTCTCTCTCTCATGCAGATAGTAACGCTCTTGCATTTCTAATATATGCTATATTCTTTATTCATTTATTGTTGTAAATAAAAGTATTTGCAGAAACTTAATTAATTATTGGGCGTCATTTCTTTTAGACTAATGCAAATAATGTTAGCAAGGAGCACATATATAATGTGATATAGACCGAATCATGCATCGTAGCAAAGCTTAAACTACTTTTATAATAAAGCTTTTATATATATATATATATATATATATACACGTATATATATATATACACGTAGGTCGTTTTAAAAGTTTTGACTCTCAACATGAACATGACATTACTCGTCAAAATCATTTGGATACTACGATCGTACATTTAAAAGATACCTATGAAAATTGTAGCCATTTTAGACGCTCAGTTGCTGTTGGATAGTCATTTGTGCCAGTCGATGTCAGTGTTTTTATAAAAATGGAAAAAATCGAATATCGGTACCGTGATTAAATTCTTGCATTTGGAAGGCAATACACCTGCGCAAATTAAAGCCGTTGGACGCTGTTTACGGATTACGAGGACTCTGCCTCATCATATGCCACCGTGAAAAGATGGGCAGCTGAATTTAAATCAGGATTGTACCAGCTTGGCTGATGATGAGCGTTCGGGACGACCAACAATTGCGACTACCACCTTTTCGATAACATCGAAAAAGTTCACCAAATGGTACTGGACAACCGTCGAATCAAGGTTAAAGAGATAGCAGAGGCTGTGAGTATATCGAAAGAACGTGTGTATACATTGATGATGAATTAGACATGCATAAACTAACCGCGTTGAATGCCGCGCTTGCTCACCGTGAACCAAAAACGCATTCAAATGAACATTTCCAAAGCTCTGTTGGAGTGGATTTTTTAATGCGTCGATTAATAACTGTTGGTGATGAAACTTGGATACACTACTTCATTCTTGAGATGAAGGAACAGTCGAAACAGTGGATTGCAAAGGGTGAACCTGCTCGATCCGAAGAAAGTGACGACGATCTCATCGGCCGGAAAGGTGATGGCGACTGTTTTTTTACATATAGTCAGGAATAGTCATGGAATTATGTTCATCGATACACAACTTATTAACGATGCTCTTATGCGAATAACACACATCACAATTTATATACTCTTTAATTTGTATATTAGAATATATGACTTTCATGCTGATAAAATAAGGATCGAAACGCGTTTATGTACTTATTTATATTTAAATTAAAATATTATTTGCACCCATACATCTAGTGCTGACTCATATAGGCTTTTTACACGCATTATAGATTATGTTCATTGACTATCTTGAAAAAGATAAACAATAATGAAAGTGTACTATGCATCATTAATGACAGGCTGAAGACAGAAATTGTGAAAAAACAGTAGTATTTGAAGAAGAAAGTGCTGTTTTCCATCAAGATAGCGCTGAACTGTTTCACACTTCAACGGTCGCCATGGCAAAAATTCATGAATTGCGGTTTGAATTGATTGACCATCCACGTATTCACCAGATCTGGTCCTCAGCGACTTTTTTCTGTTTCCTCAAAGTTTAGCTCGGAAGGCAGAGATTTTCATTGAACGACCTTGTCGCATCCGTAGAAGCATATTTTGCGGAGCAAGACGCCAAAAATTATTTGAATAGGTTAAAGGGATGGCTGGGAGCATCGCTGGGAAGTGTATCGACTTAAAAGGAGACTATGTTGAAAAATAAAACTAAATTTGATCAAAAAATACTTGTTATTTCTATGTTAGGCTCAAAACTTTTCAAACGACATACACATATGTAATTAGTGTATTCTACTCTTTATTTTATGTACATTTATCGACATTCGAATCAAGCTGATAATCTTTAGTGTTATTGCCTAAATGACGATCCAAGATATTTCGTATGTTGCCCACGGGCAACAATATCCTTACCGTCATTCTTTGTAAGCTCGACCGCGAGAAAAACCAAATTCTTCCCGGTACGTATAGTTTTAGCATCAACCGTCACTGTTTCACCAGGAAATGCAGCCTTCAAAAACCTGTGCCATTAATAATTATATTCTATTGTACTATATAATAGCACATATATGTATATATTTTTTAACTAATAAAAATTATAGTAAGTTATATACAATTGTTATATTCAATTTCTAGTCTCTAACCAACATCTATCGTGGACTGCATATACGCGTTTATATTAAAATATAAAATAACGTAATAATGTAATAACCCAGATAGCAAAGCGTGTCTCAGCAAAATCGAGTAAATCTGTGATTGCTTACGATAGCTCGCAACGTGTTGTATAGATTTGTCTTCAACGATTTCGAATATACCAACAATGTAGCAACATGCAGACAACATTGTGTATATGTATTGTCAGCAATTTAATAGCAAGAGAGCTGCGTCAATGTTATCTTGCGTTGTCGGCAATATGACAGCATTGTATGATGCTGAATATTGTTATGGCAACATGATGGCAATAGTACGAATTTTGATGATGACAATTTTAAAGTTGTTGGCAAATTGCTGGCAAATTGCTGGCAAATTGCTACTCAATGTTATCATAGCGTGAAAGCATCAATAAGTTGCCAACAAATAAGGACTCAATTGCTGCAATTCTGGTAGTAATACTTATAGCAATGCATACTTAGCAAGCAACAAGACAGACATGTTGCTATCTGGGAAATAATAAATAATTAAAACATGACAAAATAAAAAATCTAATAAAAATTTCAGATCAAAATCTTACGTCACGTGCAGATCTACAGAAACACCAGGAGGAGGATCAGTTTTGTGAGTCATTAATGCATATGTAGATAGACAGTCTATAACAGTAGTAGTAAAACCACCATGTAAAAAACCACCAACATTCAAATGTTCCTCAGCCACAGTAAATTGTGCTTTGCACTTTCCATCGCCAGCCGACAACAACTTTACCTATGCGGAAAAAAATCACAAATATACTGCATTATATTAATATTTTTATTTGCATATAGTAGCAAATGTATAACATAATGAATAGGTTAGATCTAATTATATAGTAAATATTAATAGATTAAATGAAATTTTTTGTACTTGCATTTTTCATACATCGACCAAAGCCTTTGCTATTCGCCACTTTCTCCAAAACATTTTTTATAAGTTCCATTTTACACGACATAATCTTTCCCGTACTCAAAACATTCGTACGATATTTAGCGCGTTAACATACTATACTTTACGTCACACATATTATAGAATTTTAGAGAGGTAGGTCCGTATTCAGAATGCGCGCTTACAACGATGTTAGCGCGCTAACATGCTATAATTTACGTTACGCGTACTATAGAATTTTAGAGATAAATAAAAGCGCGCTTTTATCGATCAAAGCGCGTTCTGAATATGGGCCAAAAGCACGTTCTGGTTTATAGCGACTGTGAGATATAATTAAAAGTCAACGTGTTTTTATCGATAAACTGTTAAAATTTAAGCGATTAAGAGTAAGAAACTGATAATATAATTTCATGATTTATTAGTTTCGTAGACATGTATAATATATGTTTAAAATTTTAATAATACTCAATTTTCATTAAAAATTGCGATTTTTAATGTTATCGTAATTGTAGATTTATATGTGGCTTGATAATAACGACAAAAGTAGAGAGCATGCACCACACACCAGGTTTTATCGGTGAATATTAATGTCAATAGAATAACTGTCATCAATATAAAATTTATTAACCCTATGAAAACAAAACTCTTACATGTAACAGTCATTCATAATTCGCTATATAGACGTTTCGGCTAGTAATGTAGCCTTCTTCAGTATAATACAAAATAATTATTTAATGTTATCATCTGAGTTTGATTATCAGTAGAGATGCTAACTGCTAGAGAAAAAATTGTAATTTTTCGACAATATATAAGATATTATAGCAGATTGAAAGTATGCGTACTTATTTATACAGTATTTATATGATTAAAAAATCACGAATTTAATAAATGTAATTTCGAAATTAAATGTATTCGTCCAAAAAAAAACAATTTGCCCAGGACTGATCGCGTCTTTAATAGTATTTCGTCGGCAGTCACAAAAATTTGCTCAAAGCCCAGAATTGGTCGTTTTTAATTATGTATTAGTATTTCGATCGCCGGTAACATAGAACATAATTATATTAGGATAAAAAATTGGAGGAAAAAAAAGACACGAAATGACCAACAAATCAGAGAAAAAATTATTTATTTAAATATACTTGTAGTAGTAAATAATGAAAATAATAAAAATGTAAAAAATCGATCAAGAACAATTAATAGGGTTACCCTGACCATCTAACAAATGATCCTGTGGATTATTGAGATATTTAGGCCCATCTCCTATTTTGGTGTATATCATACATTTAAGTTGTCCTGGTGGATATTTTTGAAACTTTAATTTCTCCAAGAGGCCCTATACAAGATAATACTTGTGTAATAAAAGATATTTCATAAATACACATTTAAATAATGTATCTACATATATCGATTGATATATACTTGAGAAGGTTTAATTTCTTCTACAGGTAATCCTCTTCTATATTCAATAGCGTTTTCAGAAGGAGGAAAGAAGTGATCTAAAACACCTATCACTGCTGGTACATCTTTCTCTAATAAATATAACGTAGCATTTGGCCCAGCGTCGTAAGTATAAGCAACCTAACAATGTGTCTCGTCAATAAAATAAAAAGTATCTAACCATTTTTATGCTATAACTTGTAGAAAAATATTTCATATACCTTTACGTCGTTAACTGCATCATTATAGGAATGTACAAGATTCATGATATTGTTAGAAATATTGTTCATATAAATGCATGGAGGATATGTATCCAAACACACAGCATGAAACTGATTAGAATCCTTCATAGTAAGTTCGGCAAAATTTTTGAAATTCTTCTCAACGATTGCTTGTTGCATTTTATTCGCTCGTTCCGGGACTACATGCATTATTCTATATTGCAGAAGTTGAGATGTTTCTATGCTTCGTTTCATACCTATTGCACTTGAAACTTTTTTTTGTTCATCGCTAACCTGTAAGTTTATATTTTATAAATATCTCTGCTATCTCTCTTTGTTATCACATCTATCTTTCTTATCAATACATGTAGAAAAAAATTCATTTCTTTACCACTAGCACTAAAATTCTCATTTCAGACCAATGAGACGCAGGCACGATTTGCTTTGCTAAACTGTCTGTCCCATTCTTATCTGAACCCATGTACCATCTTACAAAACCACCCATAACACTGCGACATGCTGATCCAGAACCAGAACGCGCTATAATACTAATATCTCCCTACAGAGATGTACAATATTCAGAGTATATACAACATAATTTTAAAATGTATTAAATATATTGAACGGAAAAAATAAATTATCATACTTCTATTTTGTAAAGCTTGGCTAACGCTGCCGTAAGACATGCATATCCTGCAGCACTAGAAGCTAAGCCAGCAGCGGTTGGAAAATTATTCTTTGAACATATACGAATCTTCCAATCGTTTGTATACCCAGATAATTGTGAACGTTTCCTAACTTAAAAAAAAATTTTAGTTTAATTTACAGTAAATATTTTTAAGAAATTCTCATACACTAACTTACTCTCTTTTAAACAATTTTGAAGTCTTGTATTTTTTATATCTTCTTCTCTGAAAATGTCAGTTTATTACACATAAAAAGAATAATAATGAAAATGATAATTAAACATACTTTCCATTCAGCCAGATACGATCTTCTTTAAAATCAGAACTGATCATAACAGTAGTTTTTGCATGTAGCTATAAAGATGATACTATTAATATATTTATGATATTTCTAATGTATTTGCATCTTCCCCTCATACATTTAGAACTTTAAATTTACCTGAGCTGTATCTAAAGTTGCACTTATGGAATCATTAGTTGGTAAAATTAAGGATTCATCCCTCTTTCCCCCTAAAATCATACAAATCTAAAATGTTAATTTTCACTCAGAAAAACAAATATGAGGGTAAAGGGTCAAATATTTCCATATCAGCATTTTGACTAAGTTTCTTACTACTTTTTACCGATAGCTATTCAAATTCAAATATATTCATGTAGCACGAACTGCGCGAATGATGATGTGTTCAAACGTTTAAAAACATATGCGCATATGTAATAGAATTAACTGTAGCTTAATAATAATTAATTTGTTAATATTTATTACTTATGTAAATAATACAATTTTCAAAAGCGAATATCAAAAGTATTTTCTGGATAATTAATTGTAACTTATGAGCAATATCTTTTTTTTCAAAATGTGTGTTGTGGAGGTTTCTTACTTCAAATGTATTAAATAATAAACAATTTACGATTTTATATGTGACCATTACATTGATAGATACACATCAGTAGTAGTAGTAGTAGTAATTAAATTAATGGTTTCTGCCTCTAGAGAAATAAAAAGGGAGTTAATAGGGCGAATTATAAACTGGAACAATGAATCTAATGCACGTTTAAACCCGGTCACAATATACTTCCAAAAATATAAAGATGATGTAATACTTAGACCTTGGACTGAAGCAGACATCCGCTTCAGCTGAGCAATCTTTCGAGAAAAAGATACACATCAGCAAAAATTTTAAAACACAATACGTATTATGTGTGTATTGTATATATACATATATGTATGTACATACATATGTACATATGTATAATATATATATGTATATACATGTGTGTGTATATGCGTATGAAATATAATATCTGTGTGTGTGTGTGTGTGTGTGTGTCTCGAAATATAAACAAAAAATCATAATAAAACATTTCAATTTCTCATTGAATAATAAAGCTTTAATTATATATGCGTACAATATTTAATAACTGCAATATTAACTGGTGCAATGCAAGTAATAGTAGTATTCATGATTGACGTTGGTGTTTAACTGCGCGACTTCCAAGTTTCAAGTTTCACTCCGAATCTAATCACTGTCATCAATTGTCATCACTATCAGCTGTTACTAGTGGTTACTAGAACTGCTGACTCGTCACTCACTGAGTAGAGTCCTATATATAAAGAAACTCGACATGATGTTTGAGTTTCTAATTGGCAGTCTGATATGTGTTCTGATTGGGTATCCCCTAAGCGAAGCAGCCATATTGTGACCGCAGCTGTTTACAGTAGAGACCCTTTAATTAGAGTCGCGACCATAGAGCTTTTGTATGTAGAGTATGTAGGGTAAAGCGGGGAGCACAGACTCTTGCATAACGCATAACACGTAATTCATAAAAAAATGTGCCAATCGAAGTCCTTCATTTCCTTCCTTTCTATGAAATAAAGAACTCTGATTGGTTCAATTTCTTATGCCTCATGTGTTATGCGTTATGTAAGAATCTGTGCTCCCCGCTTAACCCAGTCATAAAAATTTTGGATCGCCAAGCACGTAATTTTATCCTCAACGATATAAATGGTTATATTTTATATTTATATGCTGGAAAAAATAAACACCTATATTTTAATAAATACTTATCGAACAATTACTTATTAATAATGAATTTCTTTTTATACGTATAGAAATTCAATTTCGAAGGCTTCACACATGAAATGCATAACAGAGCATAAGCATAACGTAAGAGGCATAAGAGCCCAGACACAAGCTTTTGCATAACGCATAATGCATAGTGCATAAGAGAATCAACCAATCAATCGAAATTCTTCTTTTCCATACAATGGGAGGAAAGGAAAGATTCTGATTAGTTGATTCGCTTATGCACTATGCGTTATGCGTTATGCAAAAGTCTGTGCTGCGGCCTTTACAAAGTTGCGCATAAAATGTGATTGGATAATTTTCTTTATGCATATGTTTATGCGGTTATACAAATTTGTGTGGATATACCCTCATGGGACAACACCCGTATCACGTATGCATTATGCAATTGTCTGTAGCCTAGTTTCCACAGAGAGTTAAAACCGGATCAGAATGTAAGAACCAACCAACTACAGTCGAGCATTCCCCTGTCATCCGACTGTAACAGGGGAATACTCGACTGGTTGGTAGTTGGTTGGTTCTTACATTCTGATCCGGTTTAAATCCTCGGTGGAAACTAGGCCTGTATTTCTCGTTTCATTGACCGCGTTCAGCGGGGAGCGGTACAATTGCCCACTGCCAATCACAGCGACTTCTGCGTTGGGAGTTTAGGGTTAGTTTTTTTTTAAGTGCTGTGATTGGCTGTGTGCGCAATTGAACCGTGGGCAATTGCCATACACTCTGTTCAGCGGACTCAACAGTCGAGTGAGCGCTCGCTGTTATTGGTGTATTCTCCTAGATTTAAAATTCTGATTGAATGAGCTAAAATAATACACCAATAACAGTGAGCACTCACTCAACGCATTCTCTATTCCGCAATCCTATTAGGCACCGTGTGATTTCACCTTTAAGGAGGTTGTAAGGCAAAAATGCAATATGTTAATTAATTGAAAAAATTACAAACTATTCTAAATTACATTTAATAATAATACAAAAAAAAATAGAGACAGTTGACCATCTGGATCAAAAGTTATTTAAATAAGTAGT